CACATCGCAAAATTACAGCTTCCCAGAGAAAGTTTGAAATTTTCGGTCAAATTCAACATTTTGTAACCACTAGCAAAGAATGACAGATATATCTCTTTCCCCAGAGAGCCATTCATCCAACATTTGGCCAGCCATTAGCTTCAAAGGATAGCCTATATTTCCAGAGATGGCTGAATGGCTTAGGAAATTTTGGGGAAATAATGGCTTGGTTTGTTGGGCTTTATTGGGTTGGACTCACTGTAAATCAGTGACCAAATTACCCATTCAAATTTGGGACTCCCTGTACCCCAAATTCTGAGGAAACTACTGATCAAAAGTATCACCTACTACAGCTTTTGAAAGAGTTCAATTGTCAAAAACTTTAATAAATCAAATACCGACTGTGTGAATTTAACAAACTTTGAAACAATCAGACCCTTTCATTAAATGGAAATTTGTTTAAATGGAAGGAAAATGTGACTACAGGATACAGTATTATACTTTATACCAGATTATCCCTTTTCAAAAATGTCTGTTAGTTGTACAAACCTCTTTCCACCAGCTCTTGCTCCAGTAGTACCAGTAATGCTGCTTGACTTGTCTTNTGTAACCACTAGCAAAGAATGACAGATATATCTCTTTCCCCAGAGAGCCATTCATCCAACATTTGGCCAGCCATTAGCTTCAAAGGATAGCCTATATTTCCAGAGATGGCTGAATGGCTTAGGAAATTTTGGGGAAATAATGGCTTGGTTTGTTGGGCTTTATTGGGTTGGACTCACTGTAAATCAGTGACCAAATTACCCATTCAAATTTGGGACTCCCTGTACCCCAAATTCTGAGGAAACTACTGATCAAAAGTATCACCTACTACAGCTTTTGAAAGAGTTCAATTGTCAAAAACTTTAATAAATCAAATACCGACTGTGTGAATTTAACAAACTTTGAAACAATCAGACCCTTTCATTAAATGGAAATTTGTTTAAATGGAAGGAAAATGTGACTACAGGATACAGTATTATACTTTATACCAGATTATCCCTTTTCAAAAATGTCTGTTAGTTGTACAAACCTCTTTCCACCAGCTCTTGCTCCAGTAGTACCAGTAATGCTGCTTGACTTGTCTTCCTTACCTGTTCAAATATACAGACACATAACATGAGTTCTCTACTAGTATATCTTATATAATTTATGCCACAGTTTTTCTGCCTATATGTGAAACTTTATCATATAGCCTAGGTAAACATGTAAGATTATATGCAAATCTAAGTCATAATGGTTATCAATCACAAAACTTGTTTTACTTTCAGATATGAAAAATAAAACAGCCCTTTGCGTTGACGTTTTCTGTCATATACCAAAAGATAAAATTCAAATTAATTTGATGTGTTGCTGTTCTGTTTGAACACGACTTCTGCCACATCCATTTATCTGTTAATGTTTCCTTTTTTATGCAGTATAAATAGTTTGACAAGTACCAAAAACAGAACCAATGCCAAAAATAAACTTTTTTCTCCCCGAAACAACACTGTAACTTTCTGCATAACAAAAAGGTTCTAAAAACATTTTCTCGGGTTGATGAGATCTCTTCTCTAAGCCTCTAAAAATACACATCAGTGACCCAATTTGGCATTGTCCTTATGGAATATTAAAATAACACTGAAATAACATCTTGTCATACATAGCTAACAGGCAAAAAAACATCTATGTACTGTTATTCTAGTTCATATAAATGCTATAATTACACTTACAGCTGAGGAGAAAACACGTTCCACCTGAATTTCTTCCTTTCAACAAAATACAAACAAATCCTCAAGAAGGCAGTAAAATAGTCAGGAAGAAATAGAAGGTGACGCTTACCTGTCTGTCCATGTCCAGTTCCCAATTTCACAAAAAGATTTAAGTCAATTTCCCTAGCTAAAAACTTCATTACCAAGGTTACTTGGTCACATGGGCATATATTATCCTATCAGGAGCAGTGTAACAGCACTCTCATGGAAATCCTAGTCAACTAAGCCAAGGAACTGACTTCACATTTCATGTAAAACTGGGGCCAGGAGGCACCACGTGTCACCTACCTGTCCATTTGTATCCAGGTGGCACCACGTGTCACCTACCTGTCCATTTGTATCCATGAGGTACTGCACCACCATGGGCATCAGGTACATGGGTACCGTGTCCTTCAGTGGCGTTATGTGGCGATTCTCCTGGCAGAACATGGCAATGTGGGGCACCTGCTCCATCAGCTCCGACCTCACTGTGGGCTCTGGGGAATAACAAAAAAATTTAAGTTATACTGACATCAAGGGTTTTCCCTGGTTTTCCCAGCAAAATGTCCAGCAGTCATTTGGACAGCCGCCAGCATCACAGGACGTCCTTTGTTTTCAAAGACAGCTTATGGATTTTTTTTGGAAATCTTGCAGCTTTAGGCATACTTGGACTGCCTGAAATTTTGTAGGCAATTACAGGTTGTAATTTTGAATGGCCTGTACCCCCAAAAGCCTTGACTAACATGTGATAAATACACAGAAGCGTTCTGAAGGCTCAGTGCTTCTGCCATATTTCTTGTTCCCTTTCTCCAAGTCTAATTTTCAGAAACGTATTTACTTGAAAGTCCTGGACGGCTCTCTCTCACCCAAATTTAAATATAAATGTGTTAACAGCAGCTCTTACCAGGATCCTCAGATAACTGTATCATAATCTGCAGCAGTTTGGTGATGTCGTCCCCCGTCTCCGCCACCTGACGCAGGGTGTCCAGCAACCCCCGCGCCACCATCTGTCTGGAAATACAGAGAAACAGTTGTCTTGAACATCATCATTATCAAGTGCTCAAGAAAGTGAAATCAAACTAAAATAGCTTTTAACCATCAGCAGTGCGTATTTTTAATAAGCAAAATGGATTTAAGTTATTCTACTGTATTTTATTCTACTGACAGATCATATCAATTTTCATTGTATACTTTTATGTAGAAATATGACAAAAAATTATCATCATCATCATCATCCTTCGCCCTTGGAAAGGAAGCAGCAGCAGCAACGTTTTGCCAGAGTTGTCTCTCTTATTATTGAAAGGATCGCACTTGTTTTGCAACCCAGTATCATTGATGTTGGTGCCAGAGCAAGTTACGTTTAGTCTGCCTCTGTTAGCTTTTCCCAAGGCGGCATCCAAAATATAAAATTTTGTCTTAAACACTATGCCTCAACTCTTCCTTAATGTAATTTAAAGGTTCCAATTTCCATTTTTGTTTAAGCTCAAAACATCTACTGCCATAGGTAATTTACAAAGCAAAATGACGCATTTCTTATGCAATGTGAAGAAATAAATATGGTATTTTCTATCAGTTTATCAGATGAGCTTTTCTTTCTGCCATCAGGCCACCTGTCGTGATACAATTTTTCCATGAACTGATCTTAAAACTATCCCACAATGTATTTTGTTCCTCCATTTATTTATATTCTTTGTAGGGGAGAGAGAGAGAGAGAGAGAGAGAGAGAGAGAGAGAGAGAGGGAGGGATGAGTTTCATCTCATCTACCACTTATGTGCTATTATTATTATTATGCAGAGCTGGTGAACAATTATCATATTTCCAGAGCAAATTGAACTCAAATTACTCCTGTTTTCATTTAAAATTGAGTTTGCGTTAAAGCTAAAAATACTTTTGGGGTTAAACAAGTATTCACTGTTATAAATAGAAGTTGCATGTTGAATTACTTTTTTCTTTTGACCTTTAAAAATTTTCAACAAACCTCCCAGAGAGAGAGAGAGAGAGAGAGAGAGAGAGAGAGAAAGAAGAAGAAGAAAAGTAAAAGAAAAAGAAGAGGAGGAAGAAGAAAATCTACCCCCTTTCTTTTTTTTTTCTTTGTATAAACTCTAAAATGCTCTGGTCAAAAAACTTAAGTCTACAAGTCTTTCAACACCCAACGCAAATATTAGGACCACTCACTAGACAGATTCTCAAAAAATTGACAAGAATTGGGCATGGGGCCAGTGTTAATGTCGCAGTTTGTCTTAGTGTCATCAACATGGAATCCAACGTGATGAATCAAAACAATTATAAAAGACATTTCTAAAACAAGAGAGTATCGCATCCTATCAAAATATCAATTGCTGTATAAACATGCTTGTTGCTTAAATAAATCAAACAAGTTTTTTAAAAATAATGCAAATATTCTTATAGTACTGACCTTTGTGAAGGGAAACTGAATGCTATGTTCTGACAACTAAGCTATCTAAACATTCCACCAGTTGCTTGAAATCTCACAAAAATATCACTGTTTCCATAAATATTGACATGCTTAACCTTGGTTTCAAGCGTTTCCTGCTACACAACAATTTATAGACACAATGTCACACAGAATGTTCCAGTGTGTGTGTGTGTGTGTGTGTGTGGGGGGGGGGTATAGTTAAACATCAAAACACACCCCTGAGGCTACCTTGCATATTACTGAAAACCTAGCCAAAAAAATNGTAATTACAGAAGTAAATAAATAAATACATATTTTTATACATATAGCTGTGATCACTGTTACGTTGCACTAGTACTCCTGTCAATTGTATCCTATCAATGGGCATTATAACTATAGCGAGTATAACTCGTGGTCACCTTTGGTGACAACTGTGGACAAAAATAAAGGAGCCCGGATGTGGAGGTTTTTGGACACACCCACTGAGATAGGAAGGAAAGAGAGACATGTAGGCGTGGAGAGCAAGGAGCTAGGATAGATGGACTACGTCTTAACTGATCGTGGATGTATAGTACTATACATGGAGGTAAAGGAAAGTGAGTGACTGTACGTGTACTAGTACACAAGTTGACTGAAAACAGAGAGGGAACTATGATTGACAAAAGATAAGTAACGTTGAGAAAAAGCATTGACTATTACGAACAACGCAAGGAAGGTATGTAGGCCTACACAAATGAACAATGACAATGAAATGGAAGTGCGTGGAATGACTCTCTTATCCTGTGAACACTAACTTTGTTTGAACATTATAAAGCCCATATTCGTTAAGTTATTTAGTTCAATGTTATTGTATGTTTAGTTAGGTTTTAGTTCAATTAGTAAAATATTATCATTTTAATTTGAGGTGTTTGTTTTCATTCGTATTTATGTTTATGCTTTATTTTTTTGTTACTAAAGAACTCAATATAGGACGTAACATCACTACAAAATATTTCATTGCATATGTTGTGTTATAAACTAGCACTAATAATTTACATTAATTGCCAGCCATTTACTCTTTCTTTGAACGTATCTGTAATAGGCTGTACCATTCCCCTGAAGAACACTGTTTTCATAAGATAAGATACAACAAACTAAGCAACATTTATCAGTTGACAAGAATGAAAGGGGGAATTGGGGGGGGGGGAGAAGAGAGAGAGTGAGTGTGTACAAGAGGAAAAATATTATACATACCAAATGCTTTTCCGTAGCCGCGGTGCCAACAACACTGCACATTTCACCAAAGTTAGCTGCACAGACCTGAAGCACATATAATATACATATTACACATATACATATTACACATATACATATACATATACAATATTATCAAGAAAACAAATCAGACATCAAAGCCTGAAGAAATACACACATGGGACAACTTTAACATCCACAATTATTTCTATATCCAAACAACCAGGATTAACAACTTCACCACAGCATACTCCCAATATAGGCTAATTCAAGAGTTTTCCCAGCAAACCGTCCAGCTGTCACTTGGACGGCCTCCAGCATCACCAACCGGCCTATATTTTCAGAGACGGCTGTAGGACTTATTGATTTTTTGGATATATGAAGGCTTTAGGCACACTTGGACTCCCCAAAATTTTGTAGAAAATAAAAGGTAGTAATTTTAGGCGCCCTGCATCGCCAATCCTGGGAAAATCCCAGGGCTTATCATTACCTGATTACTATCTACAGATGTCGAATTCATAAACACCTTAAATTTCCACATACATGTTTTCTGTTAATACCACAGCTAGAAGATATCTGCTGCTGTCTTACCTTTCGGATGTGAAACAAAGGGTCTGTGCAGAGAACCACAAATCTGGGTAAAAATAACCTTTCTGCCATGTCGCTCCCCACCAGAGGTGTCATCTTGCTCATCAACTAGAAAATAAATGCAAAATAAATAGTTTAACTGATACAGTTTTAAGATCCATCCGAGCTGACCAGAATATGGCTTAATGACAGATTTCTTGTTGTTGAATGGTGGGAAACTAGTCTCTTTTGAACACCTGTTCTTATAAGACTCTTAACTCCAGCTTTTTGACCAATTTGTAAACCATTTTCAAAATATAATTCATGTCAAAAATATAATTAAAATTTTATCACATCAATTATATGCACTGCCCAAGTTGTATGAAAATCATCAGATTCATCGGCTCAGTATCAAAGTTTTCTTCATGTGTGATAATTTCAGTGTTGAGGAAAGCAGCCAATAGCTCATCAAAGCAGGCTGTGATATGATATCTCTTAGACACATCACAACCCCTCCAATGGCTATGGGAAGCAAATACTTCAAAACAAAATTCACGAAGAGTTGGTGGTTTTTCCTAAAATTAAACCAACTCTCTCACCTCTTATATAAAATGTTCTGCAGTTGCTGGCCCAGCTATTTTCACCAAATTTTCCACTGCTGTTAATTTGCATGAAACAATTGTTGTGTCCCAGCAAAATATTTCTTTGATATTGATCAGATTTTCAGTAATCATGCAAAAAACAGATATAAGCTTTAAAAGTACCTTACAAAATATCAATTTGAAAACTTTAAGAAATTGTTGTGGAAAATTATGAAGCATCAAGTGTAGGCTGACATATATGTGATCATATTATTCCATTTCAATGCAACCAGATATTAACTTCTTCCAAGAACAACAAGTCACCCCATTTCCAAGGTTTCTTGTGACCAGGGGAAACTTGTAAAAACTTAACAGCAATGACACTGGAAATACAGAAATAATATCAATTTACAGACACAAAAGTGGCAACATTTAAAAAAAATTGTTCATCCTCTTTGAAAGGTCATGATGCCTTAGAACAATCACAAAATCCGTGGTCTTAAGGACTGGATGTTATACCAGAGACAATCACAGAGTCAGCATGGTAAAACGGCTCATCAAAGCAGGCTGTGATATGACAGAAAACAACATAACACAGGAAGCTCTGAGGGCTGGTCTCCCACAATAGATGGCAGCACGTTCCAAGGTACAGCAGTCCATATGAACAGTCCACAGAAGGTTGAAAATTAAAGATACTAGATTCCTTCTTAGGAATATCCTATCTTTTAGAAATTTCCACAGATATTTAATAACAAACTAGCTCTGAATAGCAATTCTCTTCTAAAGCAGGACTCCATGACCATAATTACTTCTGTATCAATGTTATGGGAAACTATTCACCAAATCCCATCACAAGCAGAGCCAGTGGCAGTCGTCTGGTGTTGTGTATAGCTCATCAAAGCAGGCTGTGATAGGAAAGCTAGCACACCCTGTCACAACCACTTTGACCAGCCACACAACACACTTGTCTCATCTCAACTAACGCATTCCTTACATATGACACATCCAGGGGCGACTCTATGCAAGATCGCCGATATTTACAGCACGTTCAAATTTGATCTAAGAGAAAATTTTCCATAACTTAAGCTCCCAAAGTCTGTAACATTGGACCAGGTATAACAAAAGAAAAGACATCAATTCTTCATTCAATCATTCCGATAGTGAATACCACATATACTAGACTCTACAACGGTCAAAGTCAAAATAAGTGGCGATGTTCAAGAAGTTCATTCCAATACTCTAGCCAGCTTAAATAAGGGCATTATGGTGACATTCATGCAAAAGAAAAAAGTTGCGGTGATGTTAACGAACCAGGCAACTGTGACCATGACAACTTGTATTAATATGCAAACCCTGGTGTCTTGTTAGGCAGGCAGTGAGTTATGGTGAAGTGTGAAGATAGAAGCAGTCTGATCCAAGCAGGCTGTGATACGCTGCCACTGACACATACCACTGCCACTTAGACCAAACCACAGTCATCATGTGCACCAACAGCCAGGTGGAGCCACCAGCTTAGATCAAACCACAGTCATCATGTACACCAACAGCCAGGTGGAGCCACCAGCTTAGACCAAACCACAGTCATCATGTGCACCGAGAGGAAGGTGGAGCCACCAGCTTGCCTTGCTCAAATTGGTATCATTTCAAGACGTGCTGCTTAGTCGTCAACCAGGTGGAGCAACAAACTTGCTTTCTAAATCATTTCAAAATGCACTGCTTTCTTAGTTAATGTTATTTTCCTTTTCCTTAAGTTTCTTTTTTGACATGTTGGCAAAAGCTGGCTGTCTAAAGCAAAATACTATGATTAGTCTATGAAAGCCTCTTTCCAATGTACATATAATTGCATGCTATTCTTTGCACAAAACCTACAAAAACCTCCATTCTCCTAACACCCCTATAACAGATAACATAGGGAGTTATATTGGATAAAAATTTGGCTGTCAGGGTTTTCCTTCTGAGAAAAAATAATGTGTAGACTCTGAGGCTTCATCTGGCTCATCAAAACTGGCTGTGATAGCATTGGTACATGCACTACAACATACCAGGATTGACGCCCAGAGAAAACCAACAACACAAAGTAACATTATTCCGGGTCAGATAAATACTCGAAAACTATACTCAAAGTAAGTGGGAGAGAAAATACAATAACAAGTATAAATTTATCTGATTGCCCATCCAGAGCAGAAATTTTTTAACTAAGGGATTTCTGACTGAACTTGACATTACAATTTGATAATGCCTTAAAATTGTAAGCATTTGTCAAGAGATATGAAAGATAATAGTTAACCTCAGGTTTGACATAAAATCCCTCAAAACAACCTAACATAAATATTGCTCTTCCTAATCTTCATAAACAAAATAAGTGCCCCCAACCCCCTTTTTTCCCCAAAATTTTCAGAGATGGCTCATGATGCCTCTCCTGCATGTACAGATCTCTTCCTGCACCTCTTACCTTCCCTGCAAGGCAGCCTGTATCTTGTGTCATCTCCATGCAAAAGACACGGTAGTGAGGTACACAAGTACAGCATCTCACTACCCATGTCTTTCACACAGAAATAACATACGCCGTTTTTTTTAATATGGTCGCCATCTCCCATGCCTCCTCAGCGGTGACACATGCATCGTCTTTTTAATATGGTGGCTGTCTCCCATGCCTCCTCAACCGTGACTTTCAGGTCAACTTATTTAAAGAACTATTTCAGATTGTCAAACTCAGCTTGCATTTTAACAAAACAAAACCCCAAAGAAAACCTAAAATAAAATACAGATGCAGTTTAGAGTGAGTGCCTTTCGAGTTTCACTTTCATCCTCTGTGACCTTGACCTTTTATGTCATGTGACCCTCTCGTGGCCTGCTAATACTTACAGCCACTGCCTCAGTCCTATGCTCATCAATACTATGTGGTCCAGTCAACTCTAGGATAACTGGGCAGACTTGCTCTTCTACATCCTCTGCAAAGGGAAATTTGAATCAATATATATCAGTCATTCTTTGCTAGTGGTGCACTGCGGGGGGACCATAACAAGAATGTTATTTAAATTTAGATAGCCGACCAAATTCTCATGACATCGTTGTGTATGTTTCAATAACAAATCAAAGAAGCTGCATGAGCAAGGAGGATATTGTTATAAAAGCAAAAGAAGAGAAAAAGCAGAAAATATATCGAAATTACCCTCAAAATGGCGTCTTTTTTTGTGGAATTTCGACCCTACCTCTGTTTAGGAACAGTTTGTTTAGGGTTTGAATGAATTATTGAAGCAGGGAATACACCTACTGCAAGAAGATATAATAAACAGAATGTGCAAATGGTTATTTAAATAAAAATTTATTTGAAGTCACTGAAAAATGATCACAAAATTAGCTTAACTTACGATACATGCGGTGTCCCACCCCGATGAAAATTTCATCTAATCCTATCTTTCCGTATTAAAACTGTTCAATCGTCCAAAGTAGTATTTCGGTTAGTTTGTGTCACGAAATCCATGATAATATCAGTTTTCTTAAGAATTTCACATTTATTGCTCAGCAAGGTCGAT